GGGGGGGGGAAACGCCCCAGCCGCACACAGCCACATATATACCCAAATCGGGCAAGAAAAGCAAGTTCCGAGCTCCTTGTTCTTTCGAGACTTTGGATCCGATTAGAACGTCTTTTTTTTTTCATCCCCACAACCGAAAATGCTCCCTTCCCTGCCTGAGTGTATCTGGGGATCTGCGGTTTCGCCTTTTTTTTTTTTGGGGGGGGGGAATAGGACAGTGAGATGTCCCTTAAGTAGCTTATTTAACTCACATTGTCGTAATTTTGCAAGTCGCCGTGGTGCTGCGAGAGGGTTTGTGTGTGTTCGTCTCGGGGTGGTGGCGGTGGGGAGAAGCATCGGAACGGGGAGGTATTTTTAGTTGAGCACTTTGCGTTTGTTTGCATGCTTGTTTATCTGGAAAATCAACTTAAAGTTGCATTATCCTTGTTTGGAGAGGCAGTTAGCAAAGCCCGTGTTAATCTCATCAGCGCGGAGTCGAGAAAGGAATAGATTTCCTTCTCCTGAATCCATCATGCTGTGTGTGTGCGGAAAAAAAAAATCCTCATCTCTTCCAATCTCTGCTCTTTATTTTCCAGTACATTTTTGGGTGAGATGAACTCCGAGCCATTTCATTATTCTAATGCTAATTGAAATGTGAGCATTTAGGGAAATGTAGCCCCCAGAGCAAGTTGCCAGTGGGAGTTGAGCAGAGAAGAGGTGGAATCCTTTATTCTGGCAGTTAAATGCAGCAAGGTTTGAAATGACTAATGGAGGATTATTTATTTATTTTTTTTCACCTCCATCGCACAGTTGCATGGAGGGAGAGGGCTTTGCTGGTCTCTTCCTAAGGCTGTTTTCTTTGGTCACAGTGCAATTGCAGCAAAGCCATGGAGTAATTGCAGTGCCTCTTTCGCAGCTCTGCTTGTCACCTTTGCTGGTTAAAGATGAAGGCAGCTGCTTTCCCGGCTTGCTTGCAGGTTCATGAGGTGCACAAGCAGGTTTTCAGCGGGTACCACTGACCCTGAACCCCAAGCCCTGCCTTCACCTTGCCAACAGACCTCTGCAAACCCAGCAGAAATGGGGAAAGTAAAGGGCGAAACTAATGCAGTGCTTCCCTTCCAATTGCCCCGTATTTATCCTGCGTCGCGGTGCTGGAGTGTTTTCTCTGAGGTGCCAGAGGGATGTGGGTGATGCTGGGGAAGTCGGAGAAACTCGTGGGTTTTTTTCCCTGTTTGCTGTTTGTTGTGGTTTGGTTTTAACCCTTTGGTGGGTGGGGAGCAGCGGGAAAGGCTGCGAAGGGTTTGGAAGCTGCCAGCGTGAGCAAGTGTGCGTTGTCAGATGCACGCACACAGCTGAACTGCTGCAAGAGGTAGTATTACGTGTGTCCTTTGTGCCCAGAAAATGTCTTTACTGCTTTGAAATTGAAAAATGCTGATAAGCAGTCCATAAAAAGGAGAGCGTCGAAAAAAAGGAAAAACGCACAACTCCAGAAACAGAGATGCTGGGTATTTTTTCGGAGAGGAGCTTCTCAAGTTGGGAAGGAGGAGAAGGTGCCAGTTTTTGCTGGATGTAGTACGCGTCTCTGCTCCACACTGAGCAAAGCACGTTCCCTTGCTCCCTGCATCGCTGCTGGCCCCCCGCCTCCTTCCTCAGGCTTGAGAGGGGCCAAGACGCAGGAGTGGGATGAACCCCAAAATGCTGTGAGGGGCTGAGACTGAGTATGAGCTAAAACTTTCCCCAGGGGTCCGTGCTTACTGGGAAGACAACAGTGGTTCGTAGAGGATTCTTCTGGGACCAGAAGGATGGTTTGGGGGGCGGGGAGGTTTCTGCTTCCTAGCAAAGGAGTCACTGCTGGGAGCCAGGGTTGAACCCATGTTCGTGCTCTTGTGTGGGAGGCATCAGGTCCTGCATGCTTCCAGGGGCGCGTCGAAGCCCAGCCTGGTCACCGCTGAATCACTGCTGGCACCGGTCTGATTCAGCTGGGCACCGAATGGCGCTTCCCCCTGCTTGCCACGCTCACCGGGGCTTGGCTTCGTTAGGCAGCTTGCCTCGTCTGTGAGCTGCGAGTGGGTGAAGGCACCTTTGCCCACGGGGCTGGGGGGGTGAATAGGGGAGGCTTAGCTCTGTCCCTGTGGCCAAGGGGCTGTGATGCTTCAGATGGGTCCTCCCCGCAGGCCCTGGGCGAGGTGGTGGTCTCTGGTTCATCCTGCTGCTGGTGAAAAGGTGATGGGATGTGGGGTGGTGAAACCACCCTGGTGCCAACCGGGGCCTTATTCATGTCCGAAAGATGAGCTTAGCTTTGCCATCAGAGCTTGGGTGGTGCTTGTGAAAGGCTGCCAGGGCCAATTTCAGAGGGCTGGAGAAAGAAGGCAGTGTGAGACAGCTTGGTGGGCTTCTCCATCTTACCCCTTTGAGCCAGGGTGGAGGCCCCTCCACGCCAGCCCACCCCCCTCAGGCAGGTCGCCCCAGAACAGGGGCGAAGCCATCGGGCACTTTGGGTTATTTCACATCTCAGGCTGATAAGACCCCCAGGGCAAGGATGACAGAAGGAGGACAGGAGACACCCAGACTGCAGCGCTGCCCACGGAGGCTGGCAGGGTGGGCCAGCCCTGTAGGTGCCTGCAGTGTTGTACCCCATCATCGAGCCTCCCCTTGCACCCCTTGAACGGCCTTTTCTCCATTTGCTGCTGCTTCTGGTTTCTCACCCGTCCTCCTTCTTTTCAGGGAGAGCAGAGCAACTGCAGTGAGGGTAGGGCGGTTCCTGCCCCAGCTGGACTGGGAGGATGGTGGCACACAACCTTTGTGCAAATCCAGGCGGTGCCAGGTTAATGGTGAAGCAGGAAAAGGGCAGGAGGTGCTTTCCCTGAGATGGAGGAGGAGGTTGGGTTTGCTGCTGTCCTCTGCCCTTTCCCAGCCTGCCCAGGAATGTGTCCAATTTCAGATTGCATGCCTGGGGACATGGTTCTGCACACAGATCCCTGAGAGCTGCCAAGGGTCCCATCTAGCCGAGGGGCTGGCTTGGACCCCAGCTGAGATGGCTCCAATCTGGAGTCGTGCTGCTGGACTTCCCCTGCTCAATTTGGGGAGAGGGTGACCAAGGGGCTGGGGTAAGTTCACGCTGTTGCTTTTCCCTGTGCAGCTGGGTGGCCTTTTCCGTGTCCCCAGCCAGGTGTGACTTGCGGGGATGCTCAGGCTTCCTCCAACCCAGCCTCAGCCCTGCAGTGTGGGGCTCCATCCTGTGCAAGACCTCTCTAAAAAGACCAAACGCACAGGCAGATCTTCAGTCCTGGGGGGTCCCATGGCACAAAGCCCCTTCTGCCCCTGTGTACCAAGCAGCTGGGATGTTTGTCACCTTTGGTCCCCATCCATGGCACTATGGGGGGTATGGCCAGGGCATGGGGTAGCTGGGCTCGCCTGTGCTGCCGTGTGTCGGGGCGATGGTGGGCACTGCGGGCCAGGGATGGGCCGGGGAGTTACCCTTCTGGCAGCGTGGGCAGCGCCTGCATGCGCTGGCACGGCGCGTGGGGAAGGACAGGAGGAGGAGTTTGCCATCTGGGCCTCCCTACTTCTCAGCTGTTGCTATGGCACTGCAGAGATGCTGCCAGGCAGGCGACGGTGGCCTGTGTTTGTCACCCCTGGGCTCCCTCCAGGTAGGGAGAAGTCCCGGGTATATAAAGCCTTGCTCCTTTACACAACCTCACCAGGGGAGAATGGGTTCCTTACAACAAAATACTGCAACAGGTGGGTTTGCAGGGTTTATTTGTGCAGCTTGTAGCTTCCTTCAACCAGGTGAGCTGAATTCAGAGCAACTCAAGAGGAGGTGGGTTGTTGCAGAGCACCATGGGATGCAGGATTTTGGGGTCTCACTGTGCTGGGGGGGGCATCTTTACCCCTCATGGACAAGAAGAGCAGCCCCATCCTTTCTTGCTGGGCTGTCTGACCAGCCCACGGCAGCACTCACTCCATCCCATGGGCCTGGCTGGGGGTGGAAGAGCCACGTCAGAGCCGGGTGCTGTGGGGGGCGAGCGGCATCGCAGCCCCCACTCGCTGCGCGGGAGCTGGGAGCACGTGGCGTGGGGGAGAGTGAGGGGGTGCACGGAGCGGCAGCACCCCTTCGCTGCTGGAGGCAAGGCACCGGAGATGCCCATGTGTGCCTGCATCTGGGAAGCAGGGAAGAAAGAAAAGGCAAGCATCTTCCTGGAAGGGCTGGGGGGAGCAGAACTTGCTTTGGTGGCCCAGACAGCCGGGAGAGGGACTCCTGTAATGCTCAATTGGTGTTTGCTCTGCTTCGGACAACAGGACACAAACTTGTTCCCCTCTCTGTGAATCAGCCACAGCCTGCGCAGCGTGCCTTGTATGCTGCTGCTCTCCGGAGATGAAGGACTCTGTGTTCCCAAGGCTTCCCATCCCACTGTTCCTCCCATCTCCTGGTCCCAGAGACTTTGGCTGCTGAAGAGACCATTGTGAAGGTCCCTAATTCAATCCAGCTTTGTTTTGCAGAGCTCTTGTTTATGCAGGGCGGCTGTCCTGAAGCATGTTAGGAAGCGGGAGGCAGATGCAGCATGAGCCTGTGAGGACAGAAGAGGGTGCAGAGATGTTTAGGACAAGGAGGTGGGCTGAGATATGGTCTTGATTCTCTACAGGTGCTTTAAGGCAGGAGCACTGATCCTGACTGCCCCATATCGTCCCCCGTGCATCAGGAGATTGGACCCATGGAGGGTGTAGCCCTGTGCAGCGAAGAAGCTAGACTCACACCAGGGGCACCCAGTTCTGAGTGTGTGCCCTGGCCTGGCTGCTGGCTCCTTGCCCTGGTCTTATGACCTTTCTTGCTGCTGACCAGTCCTGGAGGGAG